GTTAACCCCCAAATTGGGGTCAAAACACAATAGGTTTTATTACCTATTTTTGGAAAAAAATTATTAACACCAATAAAAGTCTTGTCGGCATTGCATAACCCATTGAGGTGTTGATATGCCGTAAAACAAAATAAACCTAACCTAACCAATAATTCAGCTCTGTAGCGGTGCAGCGCAGACCAGATGCCAGTTTCGTGTACAAGGTGCAGCTTCTTCCAGTCAAATGCTCGTGGCTTAAAAATAACTCTTTGGCTAGCTCGTTACCACAAATGAAAACCATGAAAATTTCTAGCAGTAAACCAAATTTTATTCTCGGGTTGTTACCTACTACGCGAGACGAGCGAAGCCGAGATGAAGCGTAGGTGATTGGGGAGGGTAAACAGCCTAACGGGGGTCTTTGCTTACACTCGTTCTCCGTAGGCTCCCTCAGTCTCTCTGACTTTTTCACGGGTAGTGTTCACTGTCGTATTTCGGAATCTCCTGCAACTCTTCTGGATGGTCTCCTTGTTTAAGTTGGTGAATGCTGCCATAATCCTTGCTTTCAGTTCATCTTTCAAGGAGTTTTGTTGGTCTCTCGCTCAACTGCACCCCACACATAATAATCAAGGGGGTTGCAGTCTGGTGAGTTAAGTAGCCAGAAGGGGTAAGAAGAGTCAGAGAGAGATCTAAAACTAAAGAGTGGGAGAGAGGGAGGGAGGGAGGGAGAGAGAGAGGGAGAGGGAGAGATAAAACAAAAGAGAAGAAGAGAGGGAGAATGATCTAAAACCAAAGAGAGAGAGAGGGAGAGAGATATAAAACCAAAGAGTGATATATATATATATATATATATATATATATATAGAGAGAGAGGTATAAAACCAAAGAGAGAGAGAGAGAGAGAGAGAGAGAGAGAGAGAGAGAGAGTGTGTATGTGTGTGAAAGAAATATCTAAAACCAAAGAGATGGAGAGGGAAAGAGAGTCAGTAGTTGTTAGACATAAGAAATGTATTGACATCCAGCATGAACGTGTTATTGTATATTGTATATCAACGTGTGTGTGTGCACGGGTGTGTACAAGTGTGTATGTTTCTGTCTGTGCTATCCATATGTGTGTGAATTTACGGATGCATATGATATCGAGTGAGTTGAACAGATGCAAAAACGACCCTCGTCTCAGATGGACTTAACCGACATCATGGAAGAAACAAAGGTAGCCGATAGGACATTGTGAACGTACATGATCTATCAGCTAGCCGACTTCGTCAAATTAAGCTTCAGAAAAGCAACAGATAAAGCAGCTTCTCCGCAGGGCTATAAAACATTCCTAACTATATATATATATATATATATATATATATATATATATATATATATATGAGGATATTTGACAACCACCCCACGCGGTCAGATGTGGCACAAGGCCGAATTTAACGTGGGTTATCCGAGCCCGTAGGCTCGGGCAAAAATTCCTCGTAGACCCCGTTTTTTACGGGGTCGGGTAGCTGTCTACCACCCCAGACGAGACTCTTCCCTTCGGCATTGCCACGTCTGGGTTCCTCTCTGCCCGAGGACAGAGAGTTCGACCAGCTTAGCTGGAGACGAATCTCCAACTAATATATGCCAGTGTAGATCATATATAAAGTCATGTCAAAATAGTAATGGTAGGTGGTGCCGACGTACACTAACATCATGGAAATGCCCCGTTGTGCTCTGACTTCTAGGAGGACAATGTGAACACCGGCTAGGCTGCTCGTGGTAAAGCGATGTAAATTAGAGGATAGTGATAGTGGGTACCAAATGGAGGGGATATTCTGGTTTTTTTTTTGAAATTATAGGGACATTTGACAATTTCTCAATCGATAGTGTCACATGTGCAGCGAGAATAGTTGATAGAAGGTTGTACCAGCCACCGTGGACAAGGTCCTTAATGATTGTAACCAAAGGCATTTAGCTAGAATTTTCAGCGGTAACAAGCAAAAGACACATACACATTCATTGCAAGAAGCACGACACACATTCAGCAAATAACTTCATTGTTCCATTTTGCTTCAATGCAATACGGAAGCGAGAAACCCACTGCAAATGACTCTGTTAACAGTATGACACTGGACACAGCGTCTAAACCGGGCTCATAATGTCGCTTATTGGACATCTGGGGACTGATATGTGATGTAGTCCGATGAGCCATGGCTGTTGTTTTGGGCTGATAGAGTTCGGTGTGGTGCAAACCTCATGAGGCTATGAACTTAATTGTCAACAAGGTACTTTGCAGTCTTGTGGTTCCCTAATAGTGTGGTCTGTGTCCACCTAACATTCATTCGGTCCGTTTGTCCGCCTAAACATATTGACCGTAATAGTTCCCGAGTTGAACAGAATTAATTTGAGGAGCATTCCGGAGATTTCCGTCGAACAGGGAGGCCACCTCGTTCGCCCGGCATTAGTCTAATCGAGCATTTATGGAGCGTAATGGGAAGATGTATTCGCATGCAAGATACTTCACCAAGCAAAATATCAGGGATCTGTGGACATCTGTCGATCCGGCAACGCTGAACATATCTCCAGATATCTTCTTGTTAAGTCAATGCCACATCCAATTTAATGTACTCTGCCAAGCTTGAGTAGATCTTACACGATATTAGGTACCTCTCCCATGACTTTTAGCATGTTATTAACAGAAATGTGGTTCTACAGAAGGATACTGAGAATACAATCATCGAACATGTAATAACGGCGAATTTTTAGAAAAGATGGAAACAAAAAGGAAACTTATACTTAATATCAGGAAAAGACGGTTGAAATTTATAGAGCGCATAATGAGGAAAGGAAGCTCGGAAAATCTGATACTCGCAGGACAGATAGTAGACAAAAAGGGTAGAGGAAAACAACGCATAACATATTTAGTGAGTTTGAGTAAATGGATGATGGAAGAAGGTTTAGGAGAGATAAGAAAAAGATAAAATTTATTAAGAGCTACAAAGGAGAGGAAATTGTGGAGAACCATGATCGCCTACGTCCTGAAGAGACACGGCACAGAAGAAAAAGAAAAAGAAGTACACACACGCGCGCGAGCACGCACACGTATATATATATATATATATATATATATATATATATATATATATATATATATATAGATGTCTAATAAGCGACATTACGAGCCCGGTTTAGACGTTGTGTCCAGTGTCATACTGTTAACAGAGTCATTTGCAGTGGGTTTCTCGTTTTCGTATTGCATTGAAGCAAAATGGAACAATGAAGTTATTTGCTGAATGTGTGTCGTGCTTCTTGCAATGAATGTGTATGTGTCTTTTGCTTGTTACCGCTGAAAATTCTAGCTATATATATATATATATATATATATATATATATATGCGTGTGTGTGTATCATGTAAGCCCCACACAAGCTACACACACTCCTAACATAATCTGATATCGATAAATCACGACCTCTCCATGGCAGCATCACGTGCAATAAACCCTTTAGTTTATAAATATGTCATCACTGATAGCATATTTACACCCCACCGATAACCACATAGTATTCAAACCACCTGCTTTGACTTGTGGCAGTTCAAATATTTTCTATTTACTTTTCTGTCACAAATGCAAAAAAGAAAGTATATTGGGGAAACAGGCACGGAATTCCATTTTTGGTGCAATAACCTTAAACAATCCATCAAAGACAACAACAGCAATTTTCCTGTCGCTGTACACTTCAATCAACCGAATCACAGCATTGATAACATCAGACGCATGATTTTAGCGTTTTTATTTAAGTGCCAACAAGAAAAACGTTAGTGAAAGTTAAAACACATTTTCAAAATAGGATCACATATTAAAGAATTAAACAGGGATTTAGCTTTACTCAGAGAATATAGTTTCCACAGACAGCCTTCAACAACCGAAATCGTGGCAAACTAAATTAATACAACACTTGAAGGATGTAATCCCCTCCAAAGCCAACAACAACAAAATTCCCCGGAAGAGTGAGTCCCATTTCATTGTTTATTTCTCGTCTCGTTGAGAAAGTACATAAGCGTGTCCGAAAATTCCGACTTTAAAATCTTTGATTTCGTGATTCGGTTTCATCAAAAGGTCTATTAATATATAATAAATATCATCAGTCATATTGACAATATTTTTATCATTTTGTTGTTTTTTTATTTCTCGAATTTCATTAACCGGATTATTAAATCCGCTTATTATGAGAAGTACACGTGGACCGTCTTTCGTTTTAATCATATATATATATATATATATATATATATATATATATATATATATATATATATATATATATATATATATATATATATATAAATAAAGGGTTGGATTATCCTATAGCCACGATAGTCTGCAACCAAGGACCTCTCAAGGGTTTTTTCAGTTCAGTATGTTTAAATCTCAGAAATTTTTATAAAGCAGATTTTCTAGATGTCATAATTTCTAAATAATTTCATAAAATGAAATGATATCAATATAACAAACTCATATTTATTTTGATTATTGTTATAATGCTGGTTATAAAAAAAAAGATCTGTTTTTTTTTTACTACAGTTGTATTGAAATATGTGCTAATTTGATTTGCAACAAATACTAAAATAATGGTATTTCTTAAAGACTATTTCTATTAACAAACAAAAGATAGCTATTCTAATTTAGTTAAAGAATTTGCACTAAGTTTACTTCAAGCTGTGTAATTGTGGTTAAAATATATCACGAGTAAAAATATTCAAGGTGGTTGATTGGCTAATTTTTTTTTACGGTGTATCAACCTGTTGCGGCTTATTTAAAACTAGAAAGTATTTTGGCATTGTAAGAAATTTTTTTGAGTTGATAATGATTTAGTGATATAAGTCTTACTAATTAACCCATAGCGGGGAGAATAGGTAGATTCTTAACTTTCGCAAGGGTATTTGCGCGTTGGTGAATATAATGAACCCAACGGCTATGGAACTGGAACTCGACACTACGATTAACAATTCCGAGCCATTATCCATTACACCACCCGCGAATCGGAGCTTACAGCACCTGATATTGTCAAGCGGTCACCCATCTAGGTACTGATCAGGATCGACGTTGCTTAACTTCGGTTATCGTACGGGAACTTGTGTTGCAACCTGTTATGGCCGTAAGAATTATACAAGACGAGTGCGGTCGAGTTAGAGGCTGGATTTGACTGATGGGGAGGGTGAATAATCGTGGGACCAAAAGGTCACAATCCGGCCCTATGCATATATATATATAAGATAATGATTTTCCTGGTGGGTGAGTGGTAGATCCCCTCCTTGGCGATAGTCCTGCGTTCCTGCCCACTGCTCAAAATAAGTATTTACTATTTGGTTATTCGAATATTGATTTTGTGTCACGCTGAGAACTTTTCAACCTACCCTTATATATATATATATATATATATATATATATATATATATATATATATATATATATATATATATATATATATATAATGGTTTTGCAATATCCACGGTTTCAGGCATCCGCTGTGTGCCTGGGAACATATCCCATCAGATAAATGGAGACTACTGTAAGCATTTTACATTCTTTTCTTTCAATGAACCAAGTTCACAGGTGGGTACAAACGTACTTAATGCAATCATTTTTTATTTTGAAGAAAAAGATGGTGTTCGCAAAATAAGAAATGTTTTGCGTAACTTTATTTTAATATAAGAATCGCTGGTAACTTCTGCCAACACCTAATACATGCAATAAGCACATCTCTAATTCGCAGATGGAAAACGGCCGACAAGGAAGATTTAATTTTTTATTGAGTTTTTCCAGCAATCTAACATTTTTCCGTTTTTCATGGGTTAAAGAATATAAAAATTGTCCATAGTTATAATTGTTCCGAGCGCTTTCGGCTACATCTCTAGCCATTATCAAGGATGTGTTTTGGATGATGAAACTCCGTGTGTTACTGATACATAGTAATTTTACAGTGTGGAGTTCGAGCGGTTTGTGTGCTTCTTGGTGGTCGCGTGCTAGGCGCGGTCAGTTGGCCGGGGTAAGACTTCTATTTTTGGAACACTTTTAGCACGACGTCTCCTCTGCTAAATAGTGGGAGATTGATAGTGGGAGAATAATGTTTAATAAGCAGAGCTTGCCTAATGACGATCTGAAAATGACTATGACTTCCCTAATGACTATGTGATCTGAAAAGGATCCTTGCATTATCAAATAGAATTTTCCTGAAGGTGATCGCTAAGAAGCACACAAACAGCTCGAACTCCACACTGTAAAATTACTATGTAGCATCCACTCATATTTATTATATACTTGCTTTTAAGCGAGAATATAATAAATATCATCAGTCTTATTGACAATATTTTTATCATTTTGTTTTCTTTACATGTTTTCCCTAGTAGGTTATTCTAACTTTATCCTGTCAGTTGACGCGACTCAAGAAGTGGTCACCCTGATGCAGGTTCGATTCTTGTCAGAGGCTGAATTGTTCTTTAGTAGGACTTCTTAATTAGGTCGCTTATTATTACTGTTTAATGAAATACAAAAGCAGGGGTAACAACTCGGACACATGTACTGCCTAATGATGGTCACGACACCGGAAACCCGTGTAGCAAAAATATGGCAAAAAATTTGTTATAATAAGAAATAATGTCGGATAAAATATCATTGCAAATAATTTCTGTTGTTTACGTTTTAGAATAATTGACGTTTACCGGTTTGGGTTTTCGAGAGTCTTTAATAAAAAAAAAAGTAACCTTCAGCAAGGTTTGAACGTACGCCTCTTATATAGAGAGAAAACCGCAGTATAGCACGGCGTACTTTTAGACAGTTCAGTAACGAAGACTTCACGGCGAAAGCAAACGTCAATTACCCTGATGAAGTGGAAGGTGGAAGTTGGTTGGAGTAAAGAAACAAATTAGACACTAGTTTGGAGAAATGACCAAAGATTTATTTTCATTTACAATATATGAAAATGTCTCTGGTAAGTCGCATAGTGTAGTTTTCGAACGTACGGTGTACGAGATGTAAAATGATAGCTTGAAAAGGGGTATGCTTAACCCGGCGGACTGCTTCTTGTCTATTGGTTTAGGCGTGTCGCATTAATAGTTCAGTCCGTTCTCTTTCTGTGTTCACAGAAGGTCGTTTCCACGGCCTAATGGTCGGAATAGCTATCAGCCGTGCTCCGGCTAGCCTCTATGGTTAGCGTGCGTGTGTGAAGCCTCGCTCTCTGCTCTTTGCTTTCTCTCCTCTGTGCATCTTGTCTGAAACGCGCGGACGTAGTTGTAGATATCTGTGGCAAGCGAGAGTCGCATCGATAAAGGCCAGAACTCTGGCCTATTTGTGTTTGTTTTAAAATTTGTTTTGAGTAGAGCGCGGCGTGTGTGTGATTTAGCTAGACGAAAATTAGTGTGTTGTTAGATAATTTATATATATTTTTTGGTAAAATATGTCTGTTAAAATGAGATGTCAGTGTTATTTTTATTTTTGCGTAATTTAGACGACAATGTATCCATCGCAACATCTATCTATCTATCTATCTATCTATCTATCTATCTATCTATCTCAGTCTGTTCATTATCTATCTATCCATCTATCTAACTATCTATTGGTACGTGTCTAACTGTTGAACAAGGCCATCGAGAATGGAATTCACTAAATGTGTCATTTCATGAATCATGAAGCGACTCTCGTTTATTTTTTGCTTTGTTTGCTTTTATAGAATAATTGCAGGAATCGAACGCACATGTCACGGTTTGCGGAGCTCAGTTGTTAACAGTAGCTCACCGCCAACTTATATGAGAAGAAGGGTTAGACGATAAATATTGGAAGAATAGAAAGGAAGAAGATAAAAAAGAACGGGAAGAAAGAGGAGCAAGAAGAAAGAACGAAAGAAATAATAATATGTAATAATAATACGAAGAAAACGAAGTCGCTAAAAAGAGAATAACAATAAGAAGAAGAAAGGGAAAAATGTGGATGAAAAAGAGAATGAAATAAATATAAAGGAAGAAAAAGAATAAATAAAACAAAAAAGAACGAAAGAAAAAGGAGCAGATAAAAAGAAAGAAAATATAGTAACAATAAAGGAAGAAAAAAGAACAACAAAAACAACAAGGAAAGAACGAAGGAAGAAGAAGAAGTACATAAAACTAAAGAGAAGAAAAACAATAGAAAAAAGAAGAAGAAATAGAAAACGAAGAAGAAGAAGACGATGAAAAAAGAAGAAAAAAAGGAAGTAGAAGACGAAGAAGACGACGAACAAGAAGACGAAGTAGGAGAAGGCGAAGAAGACCACGATGACGATGGTGATGATGAAGAAGAAGAAGACGAACAAGAAAAAGACGAAGAGAAAGAAGGCGAATAATAATAATAATAATAATAATAATAAGAAGAAGAAGAAAAGACGGACAAGATGGAGACGAAGTAGAAGATGATGAAAAGGCGAAGAAAAAGGCGAGGAAGACGAAGGCGAAGAAGATGAAGAAAACAAAGAAAAAGACGACGAAGAAGAATGCAATAATTGGATATAAAAAGAAAGAAGGAAAAGAAAAAAAAAAAGAAAGAAGTGTAGATAAGAGAGGGAAGAAAATTTTTAATAAGGGAAGAGAAGATGAAAAAAATCTAACACACTTGAACATTCCATGTTTTTCACTCCCCTACTCAGCCCCACCCGGCTAACCGATTCGTATTTCCTTTCATTTTTGGAACATTATCAGGAAGGAAGATTAGATTGACGTCATCCGACAAACTTGAGTAATACAATAGAAAGAAGCTTCACCTTCAAAAATCCCTGACAATAGCTAAATGGTTCATCCTCTGAACCAATGAACACGAACTTTACGGTTCAAGTTTTTAAACCCGATCCATAATTTCGGTATTTTTTTTTATCTCTTGGCCCTTTTTTCTAATTGAACAGTTTACCAAAGTTAACAATAAAAAGAGACACAGGATTATTTCCAGAACTCCTTAAAGATTAGCTCATGCAAGAAGGCCAAAGAGCTCATCGTTCAAATTGTAAAAAAAAAAAAAAAAGAAGTTAATTATGGCCCGAATGACAAATATTAATCTCAGAACTTTAGATAACATCTCCAGTTCACACTTCTCCCCGGCCTCGTCCGATTCACACTCCTCCTCAGTCTTTTGAACAGGAGCAGAGGTCTATCCCTTGTTTCCTGTTTAGGATTGTCTTTCCGCTTCCTTCTAAAGTCTTTGTCATTCTCTTTCACGCCCATTAGCCCCTTGCATCTTAGTAACATTGTCGCCTTGCGTGGAGTGAAAAAAAAAAAAACAATTGTGAACTAATTAGCCGAAATGTTGTGTTGGAATAATTTATTTAAATAATTTATAAGATGATAATTATTATTGCCTCAATTGTTGGAGTAAAAGAGCTTCTCCCTTGGCATGACAGTATCATGAAGTAAATCTAGATTCAAAATAGTGCCTGCATAATTTCCCAAATTCCCAATTTCGTATATAAGACCAAGAGCTATTTTACGGGAAGCGGGAAAGTAAGAACGAAGACCATTTATTTGCTATAAAATATGCCCAGGATGATGACAGTACTGCAATATTTTACTACGGTGAACAATGTAATTAAAGGCGAAATATAAAATTGTACAACAGCTATGGGGCTGCTTCGACAGTCACCCTTTTCTGCCCTTGAGACACCGAGTGACGTCTATTTGTTTAGTAATGCTGTTTGTGCTAACCTAATAGCAGTGAATTACTTTTACGTCGGGTTTTCTCTTATACACGATATTTGAACGTGTCATGCCGGTTTTCGCTGAACAATTACCTCTCTCTAACTGCATCTTCCTAACTCCAACTAAATGATTCCTTCGAAGGCGTATTCCGGTTATATTAATTTCCGTCCGAGAAACAGACATGATTAATTAGCTTCTCAAAGAACCTCCGTTAAATAACTCAGGTGGCTGTTTATGAAGTGCTTTTCAATTTTGGTCTGGATTTTGAAGTTTTCAAAATTTACACGGAAATCAACGAAGACACGGCAAACAGGTTGCTGAAATAACGAACCCTAGAGCAGTTGTTTCCAAACTTGTTTGCATTGTCACTCTTTTGCGTACCAAAACATCAAAGCAAATGTATAGTCCACCTCTGATTGGATTTTTTTGGTGCTAGTATTGCATATCAA